TTGGATAATCACTTAACATAAAGTCAGGCTGTAGGTCGAAATACATTATTCAAGTCATTATTATAATTGTTATTATTATTCCATTGGATTCTGAGTGGAACAGGACTTCAACAACACATCTTCATTTCATCCTGTTTTCTGCGGTATTTTTCAGGTGGCTCTACGATCCCCCATAATCTTTCATCTCCTTCTCACTGGACCTCCGTCACGTCATCCTGGAATCCATGAAGAACGCATCGTTTCCCATTTGGATTGTACTCGATGGTCGGGTGTGAAGTCACTCGACGGTCTCTTCAGCGTGTGTCCATTCCATCTCAATTTTCTTTGGCACATTTTTTGGGTGGTAGGATCTTAGTTGGTCAGTTGCCAGAGTTCCCTGCTACTAATTCTTTCTGGCTATCTGATCTTTAGCTGTTGATGAAAGTCGGAAACATCTTTCTCGAAGCGCATTTCTACATAATAAAAGACGAAGGCATATTTTTCGTAATTTCCTTTCTTTACACTAGGGAAGCTTTTTATCTCTCATAGCTCTCTGAGCTTTGCAGTTTGTGCTATGATTTCACCAAAGATTAAGAAACGGGACACTAAAAAATATTGTCCAAAACTGATAGAGATTAGTGATTGCTGAATATACCGATAGCACAGCTCCTCCAGTTATGTAAATGACCGACGTGGGACTAACTTATGCGGTGCTGCATACTTCACCACCTTCAACTTGCTACCCTCGGTATTCTCTTTCTTATCAGGTATTATTAACACCATCTGAACTGCTGTTGTATTGGCTTGCGCATTAAATTTGTCTGGGGCATAACGATCTCCGGAGTGAATGAGCCTGAAGACTGTTGTCTTGATAAGCATTTCGTATCTTCAGGGACAAATGATTCTTTATCAGAGAGGCACTCGCCATAAGCAGACCCCATATTTCTTACGTCTCGTCTTGACTTTATAGAGACTCCACTGTTCATCATATTCTGTAGTATACAATAATTACAATCAAAGAAGAAGCATGCTATGGGAATCGATAATGGAGTAGCAAAGCTTTATCATTAACAGTAAAAATCACAATACAAAAGTGGCGATCAAGTTCTTAACACGAAACGATCTAGGCTGCTTGAAACCACTATATGTCATCGTGCGATCTTCGAACTCACCGGCATTCTTCCAGTTACGCAAAAATAAGAACGAAAACAAGCATATACAAGCCTGTGCTATATGAGATATATACAGTCTTTTTTCAATCTCTTTTTACCACTAAAAATCACTACAATTAGCGACTGCAGCAATAATAGAGCTAGTATTGAAGAATTATTTCATGATTGTCTTCCCCCAAAATCCTCAGATATCTGCTTTCCGTTAGGACCAATAAGTTGAAGTGGTTTTGTATTTTGGTTACAGTAAAGTCTTCGATGCGTTTGCGTTCTTAGTTAGTATTCCCCGTAAGGAATGAGTAGTTTACATGAAAAATTCCCAAACGATCAGCGAAATAATGTTCTTAGCATTGGATAACACCGTGAGGATATCCGCTGCTTATCTTTTAATACCACGGCGGTTGATTTAAACATAAAAGCATTCGAAACACAGAGGTATTTTTATCCGTGTCTATTGTGTACTAACATAAATTTTGCTTAAACGTCTCTTCTGCATGGAAGTTAATTGGTGGATGGTGACTAGCAGTGGAATATAGGATAACGCGCATTTCGTCCTTTTCGTGTCTCGTCACTGGATGCATCTGCATTCCACAGTGAGCGATGATTTTCCCACTGGGGCTCGAACCCAGAGCCCATAGTTTCAAACGCCAAAGGGTTATCTACTAGACCACTTGAGCCACAAGAGCCACCTCTTGTGCAACGGGGCATTTTAATTTTTAAATTCATTTTTTAGATTTTCCCGTCAATTACTGGACCGAAGTGCTCGGTCTCAGGTTGACATGTTGGCTGACATGGCCACTGCTAGTCACCATCCACGAATTAACTTCTAATTACATGTCCAGATAATGTCGAAGCATCTGCACAAGAAGCCGACATGTCAACCTGAGACCGTGCACTTTAGTCAAATCAACGTCGGGAAAATCTAAAATTGAATTTTGCGTCTATCTGTGTTATATATTTTTCTGTTTTTAATCATGTTACTTGTAAGTTTTAAGTAGTATGGTTGAAATTTTCCGTGCTGTTGATTACTATTTTTCCAGTTTTTCTTTTTCACGGTTACATTTCGTTTGACTTACTGAAAATTTAATCCATCACATTTTCTTCAATGTCCCTTTACTACACAGTTCTTCCATTTATGTCACACAATCGCTTAAACTTTGTTTGTTTGTAATGATGATTTTATTCCGTCCAGCACGTCGTCACATTCTTCATACTTCATTGTAGTTTGTAACCAGTTTTCACGGTAAAAGGACAAATTAAGTGGATATCCGGAGATAAAATCTTCATAATTCTTTTAATTTCATGTTATCCCATATCGTATATGAACTAGGTGATTTGCACCCTGGAGTTTACACCCAAATCAAACTATTTGTTTGGGAATAAAGATGGGAGTAATCCAGGAGTAGGAAGTCTGTATTATACTCACTAACAATGCATGAATTTGAATCTTTGGTTCGCGAACACGGCACTGAGATCAGTGACTGATAATTTCTATGGTACACGAAGTGTATATATTGGACGAACATATATATATATATATATATATATATATGATTGACAAACTATAAAAAGCAATTCTTTGTTTCGTAATCATATTTCTATCTTAAAATAAGGATTATTAATTTACAACATCATTGATATTTTACTCAAATTGAATCATTGATAGTACCTTGCCTTATAAAAGTGTATTCTTTTTCACAAAATATAATACATTGGTGCTTACACTTGAATGAAAATTATCCTAAAACTACGCTTAAACGACCTTTAATACTCCATTGCTTTTGTTGAGTCCTCATGTTGTTAAGGGCTGTGGAAATCTCTATTTAAGACACATTTTATTCTCAAGTAATCGACTTTTTCAAGTATTGGTTTTGAAGGGATTTTGTTTGATTGATTAGAAGATTTTCTCATAACCTGACGTCACTTAGAGGACCATTGGAAAACCTTGGAGCCCTGGACTGTTGTCTCGTCAGCATAGTTTGGGAATCTTCAGCAGTACGCACCCACCACCACATTTCGAACCCAGGACCTTCTGGTTACAAGGCCAGCGAGCTTGTAGACCATTAAGCCACTGGGACCCAATCTGATTGCCAGGCCATGAATTCTAACTTCTGCCAATTCATGACATGGCACGACCACTTCTCAATGTCTTCTTCGATGAGTTACTGCCTCACCTACAACCTGCATACTGATGAAGAGTCCCAAACTGAGCTGACGAAACAGCTGTCCAGTATTCCCTTTTGGTTTTCCAATGGTCCTCTAACTGATGTCAGCTGATGATGAAATCCTCCAATTACTCGACTATTTTATCATTAGTTACAATCTTCTTCCGTTTCAGCTACCCATTTCTAAATCACCTTTTTGAATAGAGAGTACAGTTAGAACATAAAATGTCTCCCAGAGACTAAAATTCTATTCTGAACTAAACGCAGATAGGCGACATAGTCGATCCGCGGATAAAATGAATGACTCTATTAATAAACTCAGCGATACATGTTTCATATTAGATAAGTTTATCTGATACAACACACAGTGGAACAGTATTAATAACTGGACGACTTTTCGAGCACAGTTTATCACTCATAATCATATCAATGCATTCACACAAATCCCTGCCTTACTTTATATAGTCTCACTCTTTTTGATTTATATTACGATTTTCTATATGTCAGGTATATGTGTTTGAAAGAATCACCAACAAGAAACTATGGGAACAAACAAAACAAGAACCAATCGCCCAACAAATATGTAGGAGAAAGTGGAGATGGATTGGACACTCCCTGAGGAGGCCGCTGGGTGACATCGCGCATCAAGCCATAGCTCGAGTGGAACGTCCAAGGGTGATATGGAGGAGATTGTGTGAAGAGGAGTTGAAACAGCATGGACTAACATGGATGCAGGTGAAAAGTACAGCAGAAGACAGAAGCAAGTGGAGACGTGTGGTTGAAGCTCTATGTTCCACTAGGAACCCAAGGGAACAATCATTATCAGGTATATGTGTTTGGCTCATTTTGATCGCACATGTTTATTACTCGTTTGATGAACCAAGGTTCTGGCATTGACCTCTCTCTGTCTAAGTTTATTACTCTCCAATACTTTCATCTTACCTCACCCTATTGTGCGATTACATGCAAACGAATGCATAACAATGCAGGATCAAGCAGTTTACCTCTGCTAAACGCCTATGTTCCGACAAGCTGACTGACCTAAAATACTAGTTTGACTTATGTGATTTACCTCACAGTCATTACATGGTACTTGGTAAATTATATTATTTTTCTTAATTGGGTCTATCAGGCCCTTAAGCTGAGGAAGTATTTCTCAGAGTTAGTTAGTTAATTAAAGTGCTATCCTAACTGTCTATAAATATGTCTGTTATTACTCAGGATACTCGTGATCCCAGTGTCATTACATTTGTTTGTTGGCATACCTTATTTTGAAGTTTGAATATATTAGGGGGTAGACAAAAGTGAACAGCTAATCTTATTTCTTCAACCGAAACATTCGTTCCATTTTTGAGTTCAGGATAAATGGTCAGTTTATTTTCAACTGTTACCATGGTTACACTAACCAGGATATTTATACATATACTCATCACGTTAAAACTGTTCATTTTTCCTCCTTTTCTATTTTAATTTCCTCTGGCTTTACCTCCAACTTTGTGGTAGGTAACCTTGTGAAAAACCCATTATCTTTTTGAAAGATTTCATCAAAAAGGATATGTTATCACATATTTCTACGAAGCTATGGAGTCGTCAACTTTCTTGACAGAATTCGAGTTCCACTTCTGATTCGATCCTTTTTAGCCGCCTTTTTTTCTTTTATTTAAATACGTTTAGTTAAATTCACTGCATCATAGCTTGTGATATCTGAAGCCCTAGAAAGAATTAATACATCTGATAGGCTATTTGTCGTTTGCATGCTTCTGCAATGGCTGAGTTGACAACTTATGGTTTGGATGAGGAAAGAGATTTTCTAGATGTAATTTCGTAGGTTACGGAGTACACTCATCTGATCCTTATCTCAGATACTTATCATACAGAATGATTGACATATATAAAGGGGACCACCAAGATATCTATTGACTGATTTTATACACGACTATAAAAGTTAGGAAAAACTTGCTCTTGTGAAGTATAAATAAGAGGAAAACCTCTTGGGTTCATATCTTTTAAGGTGGGATGTCGTGATATTTATCATTTGAAAATATACATAACTGATTTGAAAAATATATATATGTCTACATATGATTCACTACTCAACGTCTTCATATAATCATCAATTATATAATTTTATATTTTATTTATAAACACCAATTAATTCTGATTAACCAATTAACTGTAGGCAGTAATTACCAGCCAATCAGATGTTAAGAGAGACAGTTAGGTAATAAACTTCGGAGTACACTGGTGATCTACATTATGACCTTGAACTCTTGAAATTAAAATGAAGGCATGTTGTTTATTTCGTTACTACCTCCATAAATATTGACATGGTTATTATTCTCTGTGTGTCTGTGTGTTATAATACCATATAATGTATGGATATAATCTGACCGATATCAGAGGAAATCACAGATGAAATTGGTGCATTCCTTTATCTACTTGGAGATATACTCAAATAAAAATTCTACTCAAATTTATTGATGGTACCCAAGTGTTGATTAAACGTTTACTTTCATGATTAATCAAATGTCGACAGCTGTTCAGCCAATTGTTGTATCATAGCACTTCCTCTTTTACATTTCAACAGTGATCATGCCTATGCCTTCATTCTCAGATCCACAAATGCATCCACCGTCATCAGCAGCAATGCCTATACCTGTCACATTGACTATTTGGGTATACATTTTTAAAATGGGAAAGCAAATACTTTCAAGAAAATTCTTGCTGATTTTAATAATTTTCGTTATAATGTATGCAGTATACATATCGAAAATTGATTTTTTGCAAACTTTTAATGAAGCCGATAAGTTGGAGAAAGAGTTGTTTCGTAAGACAGAATTAATTTTCAACGTGTCCAGAACTAACTCTACCACCAGTCATAGTAATAATAATAATAAGGATAGTAATTATACTAGTTATCAACGGGAAAACAAGCCAAATAATCCTAAAAGATCTTTAGGTTCACTTGTGACAAATCTATTTGATGAACAAAATTATGTGCTTAAAAAGAAATTCAATATTAACAATCTAGTTCTATTTCCATTTGAAACGGATAACCCATACACCGATGACAGGATATTAGCTCAAATGAGTTATGTACCAGTACAAGTAGTAGAAGTGAGTAAAGTAATACAGTGAGAATTGTTTTGATGTTATTGTTATTGTTTCCTTTAGTTCCTAGAGGAACATAGGGATTCAGATGCACGTCTCCATTGCGTTCGGTTCTCTGCCAACGTCTCCACCTGGCTCCACATCTGCCAACATGCTTTCACCTCCTGTTCGCATCACTTCCTCTATGTCACCCTCGCATTGACGACCAACTCGCCGCTTCCCATTCGGGTTCCATTGGAGAGATGAACTGGCGTGTTATGTCACTCACTTGATGGTTTTCGCAGAGCACGGCCAACCCACCTCCATTTCTTCCTGCATATTTGTTGCGCAATCGGTTCCTGCTGGGTTGGTTAGTTCGCTCATTGTCAGAAATCCATCCCTGTTGCTGATCTCCTCTGCTGGCCGGCCATCTGATCTTGAGTAGTACTGAGCGAAGACGGCTGTTGATGAAGGTGTGTAGTATGTTCTAAATGTCCTTCGTGACGCGGTGTGGCGCCTAATCTCCGATCCGTATAGTGAGTAGTACTGATTTCACATTGGAGTTGAAAATCCGCATCCAATTTTTCATGCTGAGTGCTGTTGATGTTAACTTGCCAATATTGTAAATTTACCACCTCCTGAAATAACAAGGTGTTCTTCATTCATACCGGTAATAATCGTTAGAAAACTAAATAATTTAATGGTATTGTGTGCTTATGTGATTCAAATAGCCTGGTGAATAGCGTTGTGTATCGGCGGATCAATGGTAGCATACTGTCTGGCTGGACTTCGATCCCTGGTAGACACACTTGCTAAACTTTGCTTGCCCGATGGTAAGCCAGGATAGGGTGAGTGCTGGGTGTAAAGCTAGCAACATCATCCTGTATAAAAAAATAACACCACTGGTGTTGAAGCTTCGAATCTCACAACTTGAAGCCCTATGTTCCATTAGCAACGCGGAGGATTTAAGTAATGACTGTGTTGGTTGTAGTGAAATTCATTGCTTCATTTGAAGTGTTGTTTTTTACTGCTCAGAATTTAATTAACAATAGTCTAGTCTGCAGTGCTAAGAGTAGTTATTTTAAGTAATTAGCAAATGCATCAGTGTTTATCCACCAACAAATTTTATCATGATAATGAAAGAAATAATGAATAAGAGCAATATGTGAACTATGGGATGCTATCAGTGAGTTGTCGTTAATAACTAACCCCTTGTGGTGCGGATTGCAAGTAAACTATTTGAAGCCGTAAATTAATTTTCAGACGGTCAGAATTTCAAACAATTAAATATTTTTTTAATTGGTGGATGGTAACTAGCAGTGGAATCCAGGATGCGTATTTCGTCCTATTTGGGACTCGTCATCTGGATGTACTTGCATTTCTCAGTGAGTGATGATGTTCCCACCAATTAAATACTAATTAAATGCTCAGACATCGTCGAAGCATCTGCTCAAGAAGCCGACATGTAAACCTGAGACCGAGCACTTCGGTCCAATCAATCGACGGAAAAATCTAAAATTAAATTAAATATTTTCAATAGTTGGTTTGTAAGGATTAAATTTGTTTTGACGATATGATCACGGATTGATATCAGTTAGAGAAGCATTAAAGAACAGGAAGTACTGGACGGCTGTTTCGTCCTAGTTTGGGAATCATCGGCACACACGCCCACCAACGTGGTTCGAACCCAATACCTTCCGGTCGTATACCGTTTGATGACCACCAATTAATCTGGTGCTCGCTAGTGACTTGCTACAGGATAGAGTTTCCTGGAGTTCTGGTGAGAAGTCGTGACCACTGACGTCCATCCAGTCAAGTGTGAGGATGGATGTCCCTCCGATGACATGGGTGGTGCCATTCGCGCTAAATCACGAATTGATAAAAGTTAGAATTCATGGCCTGGCCATTGAATCGGGTCCCAGTGGCTGAGTGGTATATGAGCTTGCCTTGTAACCGGAAGGTCCTGGGTTAGAACCCAAACTAGGCTGACTTAATGGCTGGTTTTCAATGCTTCTCTAACTGATATCAATCCTTGATCAACTCGTTGACATTAAATATTTTTATAATTTTAAATACACTTGAAACTACATTCTTTTGCTTTTTTTTTGAAATTTCATCAGTTGCCTCGTGAGTTGAAAAAGTTTAATAATAATTAAAAATATGTAGCTTGTTTGACGGGATATTGTTTAATAGCAAGAGTAGTATATACATTAACACCGCTTCATGTCAATTTAAATAACTGTAGAAAATTGTAATTAGAAGAGTTACAGTTAATTAGAAAAATGGCTGAATATTTCAGAAACATTAGAATAATTCAAAAAGCAAATGAAAATAAAAGTTTTCTGAAACTAAGAAGCTATGAAACTGATTGCAAGTACTGGCAAATCCTTGATGAAAGTATATTTCATTTTCTTCTCAAGCCAATAACAGATTTATCATTGTTATGTTGTTGTCGTTATTATTCTTTGGGATCCGAGCAGAACATACGTCTTCAGCAGCACATCGTCATTTCACTCTGTTTTCCTCTGTCTTTTTTTTAACTGGCTCTACGATGGCCTGTAAACTTTGGTGTATTCCTCCCAAAATCTCTTTCAAGTCACCCTCAGATGCTGAAATCGTCGTTTCTCATTCAAGTTCCCCTCGACCGCCTAGTGGGTGATGTCACTCAACGGTCCTATCAGCGTTTGTCCAATCCACCTCTACATTCTTCGGCATATTTTTTGGGTGATACGTTGTTGGCTAGTTCGCTACGCGACAGAGTTTCTTGTTTCTAACCCATTCCGGACGTTTGACTTTCAACATCAAGCCAGCAAATGTAGGTATCTATGAAAATCAGCAGTAGCCTATTGGAAATGCTTTTGCTGAAGTGAGCACTAGTCTTTGAAATATACAGAAACACTGATTTGCCATTAGTGTTGAAGATCCGGATCTCGTTTGTTGTATTGATTGCAGTAGATTTCCACAGTGACTTCAGAGTAACGAAAGTTTGTCTTACTTTCCTGCCTTACTTTTGACATCCTCATCTGTACTGTTTGTAAATGAAACAATGCTCCCCAGGAGTGTGAAGGAAACCACTTTCTTTGAATGTCTCCCTTTGATAGTGATTGCTGCTTGTTGTTGTTAGTTATTGATCATCTTCGTCATCTGAAGTCCTGTCTTCCAAATAGTTAGTTTTCGCCTATAGATCTTCGACTTTGTGTGACGTTAGACATAAATCATCCGAGAAGTTCATATCTCGTAAAGTCTTCTTGTTGCTATAGTGTATGCCAGTCTTCTCACTCCCACTGTCTGTTGTACGATCCAGTTTACCACACTCAAGAATATCATCGGAGATAGTAGGCACCCTTGTCTTAATTCTTTCTTCTCTTCGGAGGCTTCGCTGAGTTTTCCGATGTGGGTCACTTGACATTTGGCATCATTATACACCTGATGAATATGGTTGATAAAGGCTAAAGGCACTCCGTAGTGTTGAAACAGTCTTCAAATCTCTTCGCGACCAAACAGATGTTTCTGTTTAAAGATATAAGTAAATCAATTTTCATTTACTTGAAAAATATCCTGAACCGTGCGTATCTCGACCATTAATTATCAAATTTTTTAAAAAAGACTGCTGTGGTGAGGAAAGAAAACTCATGAAGCCTTATATTTATATCTGTTGTAAGGATGAATAATTTCCAAAATAGTATTCGATGTCAATGATAAATTTCAGAGTCGGATATACGCTCTATTTGTCTGCGTTTTAAGTTTTATCAGTTTCAGACACCATATACAATATCGAATAGAATATAGGCAGTATTACAGTTAGAAAATAGTTTTTGCACCTCAACAGCTTCAATAATAGCATATTTAACAGTAAATACATGCCTTGTATTTATGTTGATAAGAAATATTTTAATGTTTCTAAATGTAAGAAATGCTTGATGGCTGACATACTAAATGATTTAAGGATACAAGGTATAAGGCCATATTTTGAAAAGCGTGAACAGCTAAATAAACTGTAATTAATATAAATACCAGAAACAAATGGATTTCCTTTGACCTTTGAAGTACTATGACAGTCATTTTGTGATTTTAAAGAGTTTAGCCACTGTAGTCATATATAGAGTTTTTCAATTTGCTTAAATACTTGTGGTTACTTTAAAATGAATGCTGATTTTCTTAAAATATTATTCAAAGCGTTATATTTCAGGTAGGTTCAAGTTCATTTTCAAAAGACTGAACCATTGATGGTTTTAAATGTCATTGCTTAGGCATAACATCATTTCCGGTTTTAGAATTTTGTGGGCGGGCTTTTTAACTACGGTTGAAAAAATATATATTATATACACCGAATATTTCTGTTAATTCAGACATATTCTGTTTCCTGTATTGAGGTTCGCGACAGCCTTCTCAACATAATCTTTGATGTTAGTTGCTGACTGAGGAGGACACTGAGTTTTTCGACAGAATTTTAATGCTGAGTAGCCGACCTTCTTCTCTCTTCCTTGACAGCATCTTCAGTGCTCATTTTGTAGTGAAGTGATGTTTTAGATTTCTGTTTAAAAGAAGTAAATGTCTTTCCTGATGAGCTGATCTATAAGGTTTAAAAAAATTTATGAAACGGCTATTTCCATTCGAATCGCACCTCGCATTAACCATAATTAATAGAATGTCAGGAAGATAGTGCCAGAAAGAATGATGCTTTTGAATCAAGTTCTCGTCAACGCAGATAGGTTGATAATTCTAGCAACATAGTTAATTCTGTAATCCATTACATGTTTAATAAATATTCCTGTACATTCCCAGCGGAACATAGGGCTTCAAGCTAGAGGTGTGCGTCCAGTGGCTGGGGATCGAACTCCGAACCACATAAGGTGTGGTTCTACCGATGTGCCACCGATGCACCTATTATTTGTTATTAGAGACCATTTAAATGACATCAAATTCTTCATGAGCACGTCGTTAGCATAGCGGTTAGGACACTCGCCGACCATACACATGGTCCGGGGTTCGATCCCCGGCCACTGGACGCACTCCTTTACCTCGCT